TTCTGGGAGCCGGACAGGACTTGTTCGGGGTAGGTGGGATTGGGTGCTAGGACCCCCCACCTGTGTATGAGGTCCAGGGCTGTCTGGGGCACGGATATTGCTGGGGTGTCGGAGGGGTTTTGCTCGTGAGGCTTCAGGCAGGCAGCTGAAGCGCTCTGTGAGACTGGTTTGTGGCCTTTTTGGAGAGGTCACCAGTCTGGGGGCTGTAAGGAGCCCCGAAGTTGAGCAATTCGCCCTGAGCGGACGCCCTCAGCTGTGCCCAGACAGGGCCCGGTCCGTCACAGCTCCCCCCCCAGCGCTGCCCATGCTACCCCCCCACCCGCCATCAGCACTGCCCACGCTACCCCCTCCCCCACACCCTCAGCGCTGCCCACATTCAGTGCTCCCCCCCAGCCCTGAGAACTGCATGTAGCGCACGGTGCTCTGGCGGTGGTTTAAAGTGCCAGGACTCCAGCCAGTGCTACTGTCCCTGTTGCTCCCCCTCACGCTACCCCCTCCCCCACACCCTCAGCGCTGCCCACATTCAGTGCTCCCCCCCAGCCCTGAGAACTGCATGTAGCGCACGGTGCTCTGGCGGTGGTTTAAAGTGCCAGGACTCCAGCCAGTGCTACTGTCCCTGTTGCTCCCCCTCTGTCGGCAACCTGGCCATGGCACTGAGCTCAAAGCACCGCTAGCACTGAGGCTCTGCCCATCCCAGAGCAACCTGCATTTCTGGTGGGTACAATAAACCAACAGCCGCAGGGATCTGAGAGTTGGAACTGCTACTGGGGTTGGGAGAGCATCAGGTAGTGTGTGTGGTTTGGGGGGAGAGCATCAGGCGGTGGGCATGGGTCGGGGGGCAGAGCGTCAGGTGGTGCATGTGGTTTGGGGGGAGAGCATCAGGCGGTGGGCATGGGTCGGGGGGCAGAGCGTCAGGTGGTGCATGTGGTTTGGGGGGAGAGCATCAGGCGGTGGGCATGGGTCGGGGGGCAGAGCGTCAGGTGGTGCATGTGGTTTGGGGGGAGAGCATCAGGCGGTGGGCATGGGTCGGGGGGCAGAGCGTCAGGTGGTGCATGTGGTTTGGGGGGAGAGCATCAGGCGGTGGGCATGGGTCGGGGGGCAGAGCGTCAGGTGGTGCATGTGGTTTGGGGGGAGAGCATCAGGCGGTGGGCATGGGTCGGGGGGCAGAGCGTCAGGTGGTGCATGTGGTTTGGGGGGAGAGCATCAGGCGGTGGGCATGGGTCGGGGGGCAGAGCGTCAGGTGGTGCATGTGGTTTGGGGGGAGAGCATCAGGCGGTGGGCATGGGTCGGGGGGCAGAGCGTCAGGTGGTGCATGTGGTTTGGGGGGAGAGCATCAGGCGGTGGGCATGGGTCGGGGGGCAGAGCGTCAGGTGGTGCATGTGGTTTGGGGGGAGAGCATCAGGCGGTGGGCATGGGTCGGGGGGCAGAGCGTCAGGTGGTGCATGTGGTTTGGGGGGAGAGCATCAGGCGGTGGGCATGGGTCGGGGGGCAGAGCGTCAGGTGGTGCATGTGGTTTGGGGGGAGAGCATCAGGCGGTGGGCATGGGTCGGGGGGCAGAGCGTCAGGTGGTGCATGTGGTTTGGGGGGAGAGCATCAGGCGGTGGGCATGGGTCGGGGGGCAGAGCGTCAGGTGGTGCATGTGGTTTGGGGGGAGAGCATCAGGCGGTGGGCATGGGTCGGGGGGCAGAGCGTCAGGTGGTGCATGTGGTTTGGGGGGAGAGCATCAGGCGGTGGGCATGGGTCGGGGGGCAGAGCGTCAGGTGGTGCATGTGGTTTGGGGGGAGAGCATCAGGCGGTGGGCATGGGTCGGGGGGCAGAGCGTCAGGTGGTGCATGTGGTTTGGGGGGAGAGCATCAGGCGGTGGGCATGGGTCGGGGGGCAGAGCGTCAGGTGGTGCATGTGGTTTGGGGGGAGAGCATCAGGCGGTGGGCATGGGTCGGGGGGCAGAGCGTCAGGTGGTGCATGTGGTTTGGGGGGAGAGCATCAGGCGGTGGGCATGGGTCGGGGGGCAGAGCGTCAGGTGGTGCATGTGGTTTGGGGGGAGAGCATCAGGCGGTGGGCATGGGTCGGGGGGCAGAGCGTCAGGTGGTGCATGTGGTTTGGGGGGAGAGCATCAGGCGGTGGGCATGGGTCGGGGGGCAGAGCGTCAGGTGGTGCATGTGGTTTGGGGGGAGAGCATCAGGCGGTGGGCATGGGTCGGGGGGCAGAGCGTCAGGTGGTGCATGTGGTTTGGGGGGAGAGCATCAGGCGGTGGGCATGGGTCGGGGGGCAGAGCGTCAGGTGGTGCATGTGGTTTGGGGGGAGAGCATCAGGCGGTGGGCATGGGTCGGGGGGCAGAGCGTCAGGTGGTGCATGTGGTTTGGGGGGAGAGCATCAGGCGGTGGGCATGGGTCGGGGGGCAGAGCGTCAGGTGGTGCATGTGGTTTGGGGGGAGAGCATCAGGCGGTGGGCATGGGTCGGGGGGCAGAGCGTCAGGTGGTGCATGTGGTTTGGGGGGAGAGCATCAGGCGGTGGGCATGGGTCGGGGGGCAGAGCGTCAGGTGGTGCATGTGGTTTGGGGGGAGAGCATCAGGCGGTGGGCATGGGTCGGGGGGCAGAGCGTCAGGTGGTGCATGTGGTTTGGGGGGAGAGCATCAGGCGGTGGGCATGGGTCGGGGGGCAGAGCGTCAGGTGGTGCATGTGGTTTGGGGGGAGAGCATCAGGCGGTGGGCATGGGTCGGGGGGCAGAGCGTCAGGTGGTGCATGTGGTTTGGGGGGAGAGCATCAGGCGGTGGGCATGGGTCGGGGGGCAGAGCGTCAGGTGGTGCATGTGGTTTGGGGGGAGAGCATCAGGCGGTGGGCATGGGTCGGGGGGCAGAGCGTCAGGTGGTGCATGTGGTTTGGGGGGAGAGCATCAGGCGGTGGGCATGGGTCGGGGGGCAGAGCGTCAGGTGGTGCATGTGGTTTGGGGGGAGAGCATCAGGCGGTGGGCATGGGTCGGGGGGCAGAGCGTCAGGTGGTGCATGTGGTTTGGGGGGAGAGCATCAGGCGGTGGGCATGGGTCGGGGGGCAGAGCGTCAGGTGGTGCATGTGGTTTGGGGGGAGAGCATCAGGCGGTGGGCATGGGTCGGGGGGCAGAGCGTCAGGTGGTGCATGTGGTTTGGGGGGAGAGCATCAGGCGGTGGGCATGGGTCGGGGGGCAGAGCGTCAGGTGGTGCATGTGGTTTGGGGGGAGAGCATCAGGCGGTGGGCATGGGTCGGGGGGCAGAGCGTCAGGTGGTGCATGTGGTTTGGGGGGAGAGCATCAGGCGGTGGGCATGGGTCGGGGGGCAGAGCGTCAGGTGGTGCATGTGGTTTGGGGGGAGAGCATCAGGCGGTGGGCATGGGTCGGGGGGCAGAGCGTCAGGTGGTGCATGTGGTTTGGGGGGAGAGCATCAGGCGGTGGGCATGGGTCGGGGGGCAGAGCGTCAGGTGGTGCATGTGGTTTGGGGGGAGAGCATCAGGCGGTGGGCATGGGTCGGGGGGCAGAGCGTCAGGTGGTGCATGTGGTTTGGGGGGAGAGCATCAGGCGGTGGGCATGGGTCGGGGGGCAGAGCGTCAGGTGGTGCATGTGGTTTGGGGGGAGAGCATCAGGCGGTGGGCATGGGTCGGGGGGCAGAGCGTCAGGTGGTGCATGTGGTTTGGGGGGAGAGCATCAGGCGGTGGGCATGGGTCGGGGGGCAGAGCGTCAGGTGGTGCATGTGGTTTGGGGGGAGAGCATCAGGCGGTGGGCATGGGTCGGGGGGCAGAGCGTCAGGTGGTGCATGTGGTTTGGGGGGAGAGCATCAGGCGGTGGGCATGGGTCGGGGGGCAGAGCGTCAGGTGGTGCATGTGGTTTGGGGGGAGAGCATCAGGCGGTGGGCATGGGTCGGGGGGCAGAGCGTCAGGTGGTGCATGTGGTTTGGGGGGAGAGCATCAGGCGGTGGGCATGGGTCGGGGGGCAGAGCGTCAGGTGGTGCATGTGGTTTGGGGGGAGAGCATCAGGCGGTGGGCATGGGTCGGGGGGCAGAGCGTCAGGTGGTGCATGTGGTTTGGGGGGAGAGCATCAGGCGGTGGGCATGGGTCGGGGGGCAGAGCGTCAGGTGGTGGGGAGGGACTCACCATGCCGATAAAGGCCATCTCCCTCTCTCTCTCCAGCTTGGTGCATCTGCGTTGCAGGCAGCCTTTCCAGACCTATGGGAAGAAGGCCCACCGGGATGTGAGATCCAGGGCACAGAGCCCCTCCCCCTGGCACCATGCTGCCAGCCCCCACCAGGGTCCGTGCACAAGGCCCTCAACCTGGCTCGGATGGGCTCTGTGGCGCCCTGTGTGTCCCTCACCCTTAAGAGCCTCAACCTGATGCCATGTGACTTCTCTCTCTCTTTCATTAAAAGTTTCTTTTCTACGCTCAGACTCTGTGCGTGTGTGACAGCGCATTGGGGTTCCCCGTCTCCTGCACCCCGAAATGGCACGAACAGACTCCACCAGCCAGTGGAATTGAGGGTGGTTTATTGCTCCTCCAGGATACAGCATAGCACAGATGTAATCTGGTTACAGGAACTGGGGCTAAGAGGCCTCAGTGCCCCCCCTTGAGATAGGGGAGTCCCAGCCCCCTCCCCAGCTCCTTCTCCCCTGCTTTCCAGACAGGAACTAACTCTACCTCTCCCAGCCCTGCCCCCAGCCAGGGCAGCATCCACCTCCCTTTGTTTCTCCCCATGGGGGGAAGGCTGGTTCAACAGGTATGGTACCTTTGCATAGTGAGGTTTTCCCTGCCGGGTCTTGCTCCAGACTGCAGAGGTCACCACAGCCCAGCAAGTCCCCCCACTACGTCACAGTGTGCAAGTGGGGAAGCATCGCCTCTCAGAGGCGCCCGCCCAGGCTACTGGGTAGGAGCTCGAGCCAGTTCTGTGCGAGATGGACCCCTAGATATTGAACCCAGCCCTGCCTGCTGCTGGCACTACCCAGCAGAAGAGCTACATTTCCTTCCACAGCTCTCTGCAATATGTAGGGGGACACTGTGTGATCATGGTAGACTTCAATTTGAGTGACATATGCCAGAGGTTTCAGGCTGGCAATATTACAATATCCAATTCAAAAAGTGTTGCAGTCAACACAAGGGAATTCTTGATTTTAAACTTTGTCCTAACAAACAAAGAGAATCTGATTACAGAACTAAAAATGAATTACAACAGTTACAAGGCTCATGATTAGCTCACATTTGTAATGTGCCAACAGACTAAACTCCACACCAATAATCTATATAGTTGGTCATTTAATAGGGGCAGTTTCACAAAGCTGAAAACAATCATGAGCCAAATCAACTGTGAGGAAGAATTAAATCAGAAAAAAAGTGAATTATCATTTGGGACTCATGACCCAAAAGTCAATAATCTCACAACTGAGGAAGTAGTCTGTGCTGGTTTAAAACAAACAAACAAACGAACAAAAACAAAAACAAACCTACCTGATTTAGAAGAGAAATGAAGCCAACTATAAAAAAATGTAACAAATGGAAGAGAGGAGACGTTGTTAGTAATAAAGATAAGGAAGAAGCTAGGCCTTGTAGAAAAGTGATAAGGGAAGCAAAGTGACACAAGGAGGACTCTATGACTGGAAGAGTTAAGAACTGTAATGAGGCATTTTAAAAATATATTAGGACACCAGGAGATGCCTAACAATAGTATTGGTTCATTACAAGATGGAAACGGCTGAGCTATCAGTATTAATGCAGAAAAGGCAGAGGTAGTCAATGAATATTTCTGTTCCCTAGATGGCGGGTAGAATAGGCCAGGGAAGACTAAGACTTCCTTTGCACAGCTGCTGCCACTCAACCCCGGGAGGCAGGTTTTTGCTTATTTATGCACTATGCAAGTCACGGATGTCCCTGGTCCCTGATCCCCTCCCCAGGCTCCACCCTGTCCCTCCTCTTCCTGCCCCATCCTGTTTCCAGTCTACCCAGTCCCTCAAATCCTGCCCCCCTCTTCCTGCCCACATTACCCCCTCCCCTGAGCTTGGCAAGCCAGGGAATTATGGGGGGCCTAGCGTGGGGGGGCAGCAGGGTCGGGCCCCCTGCACTCACAGAGCGGTGGGAGCCCAGGAAGTGGCGTGACGCGCCCAGCAGCTTGTGCCATGCCGCCACCCTCTCCAAGCCAGGTCGCTCCAGTTCCCGATGGACGGAAAGCAGAGCACCCCGACCCCCCCATCCCACTCAGCGCCCCACAGTGCGCAGGGCTCCGGAGGGCACAGTGCAGTGGGCTGCCTGCTGCTGCAGTGAAGCAACGCAACCTGGCTGGGAGAGGCACAGGCTGCTGGGTCTGTGTCTGCACCTGCCAGGCTCCCGCTGCCCAGTGATGAGTAGGAGGGAACCCCCTTGCTGCCCCCCACATAATCCCACAGGCCACCTTCAGTCCCACGGGCTCCCACCAATATGGGGGCGCACCCATAGACAGTTGGGGCAGCCTCCATGGGGGCCCCAAAGCACAAGGTGGCCACCTGGCCTGTGCGCGGATGGGACGGCTCGGGGGCAGCTGGGGAGGCGATGCCTGCTGTCCAGTGTTCCAGGCTCATCAGCCATGGCCCAGATGCCGGAGAGATCACTGATGAGCAAGGGAAGCGGAGTAGCTGCCCAGCCCATGCCTCCTCCTGGTGCGGGGAGGGGTACCCTTTCCCCAGTCTCTGGCCGGGGACTGAGAACTCCACCCACGTGTCCAGCGACAGCCTCTCTCTCGCCAATTCAGCAAGGAGGCGGCTAGCGGGGGGCTGGACTACAGTTCAGAAGCAGGCCCGTACGCAGAAATGTCGGGGGGGGGGTGCTTTTTTTGTAAATGTGGACGCCTGTTTTTAATATCTTGGAGTTCAAAATGGTCATGCAAGAGTCGTACTTAGGAGAGGGCAATTAAAAACGTGAGCGGGAAGAGTGACTGGTAACATGATTTTGTTAGAACACAATTAAACACGTCAAGGGTTGTAGCAATTGCCTTCTGGGAGCTTGCTGTACTCTCACAAGTGAAAAAGCAAGGTTCCAGAGGGGATGGAGAGAGGCTGTTCTCAGTGGGGCAGGTGGCAGAACAAGGAGCAGTGGGCTCCAGTTACAGTGCGGGAGGTCCAGGCTGGAGATTAGAAAACACGCTTTCCCTAGGCGGGTGGGGAAGCGCTGGGCTGGGTTCCCCAGGGAGGGGGTGGAATCTCCATCCCTAGAGGTGTCCAGTCCTGGCTGGGCAAGGCCCGGGCTGGATTGATTTAGTTGGGGTTGATCCTGCTTTGGGCAGGGGGCTGGACACGACTCCTGAGGTCTCTTTCTGCCCTGGATTCAATAATATTCCAAAAAGTGCCCAGCTGCCCGGGAGGGCTGGGGCAGAATCTCCCAGGAGGTAGGAGGGGCTGGTGGCTGCCCTGCTCCTGCTACATGGCCCAACCCCACCCCTGGCTTCACTTCTGCGGAGAGGGCAAGAATCAGCCCCCGTCATTTCCCGGCCAGCTGGAGCACAGGGGAGGGAGGCTGGAGCAACAAACCGCCCCAGCCTTCCCCAGCTCATCTGGAATTGGCCCTGCGAGGGCCCCTGGGGAGCCATGGGGGGTGTTTGCAGCCTCTGCACCCCTGCGGACAGGCCTGAGATGTAGCTACGCGGGGAGAGATCGTCAGTCATGGGCTGCCCAGTCAAGCAGAGAAAGTCAAACACTGAGCCTTGAAGCCAGACTGGAACTAAGGGGCATGGCTTTGACAGGGAGGGGCCTTAACCCTTGGAGCTGTTTCCCAAGGGTCATAATGGACACGTGTTCAGCCCAAGATGCGCTGCTCTGAGGGTGCTTTGGGGCAGGTCTCTGGCCGGGATTTCCCAGGTCAGATTAGGGATCGCGTGGGTTCTGGAGGGGAGTCCTTCAGCTCAGACATCGCTCAATGCAAGTGGCCTCCCAGATGCACGACTTCTCCACGCCCGGGGCTTGGCTCAGAGGCGAATGGGAGTTGCTGGGACACACAGGTTAGGGGTTGTTGTTGGCCCCAGGAGCCAGCATTATCCAGGGGCTGAAGCACATGGCTGGGTCCCCAGTTGTGGGAGTGCAGGGCCTTGTGGGAGCATGTTTTACAGGAGGGCAGCCTGGCTCAGGATGGCATCACGAGCTGCTGCTGGGTCTCTCTCGGCCTTTTCCCTGCCTGGCGAGGATCATGCAGCCCTGGAACTGGAAGGGACCCGCCCGCGAAGTCATTCAGGCCGGCCCCTGAGGGCGGCTTTGGACTATTTTGCCACTATTTTGCAAGTGGCTAAAGTCCATAGTAAGCACAGGAAAGGGCAGCTGAGCAGCGGCGAGATGGTGGTGCTCATGGGATCACAGACGAGCAAAGGGGGTGCGTGAGTATTTCAGACATTTACATGCGGCTGCGAGGAGTATGAAGAGCAGGAAGAACTAGAAGTACCAGCACACAAGCTACACTGGGAGCTAATTGACACGACAGGCTTGGTGGAAAACATCTGGTGAGTGGAATATTGGCTTAGAAGCTGCAATATCACGGCTTTATCGGAAAAAGCTACGCAAATTGTGAAGCACAATTTGCGTACCCTTGTCCGATCACTTTTTTGGAAGAGGCTTTTCTGAAATTTGGCCTGTCTATGCTGTACCAAATGGGAAAAAAAAAACCTCTTTCAGAAGAACCTTTCTTCCTCGTGGGAGGAGGAAGACAGGGCTTTCAAAAGAGCACATCTGCTCTTCCGCAAAAATACCAGAAGAGCAGGCCCGTACCCTGGATGCGAAAACCCCTGGGCTACTCGTAATAGGGAAATCCGCGGGGGATTTAAATATCCCCCGCGGCATTTAAATAAAAATGTCCGCCGCTTTTTTCCGGCTTTTAGAAAAGCCGGAAAAGAGCGTCTACACTGGCCCCGATCCTCTGGAAAAAGCGCCCTTATTCCTACTTCCCCGGGAAGCAATGGGGGACTTGGCCTGCCTGTTGGAGAAGCAATATGGTGAAATGCGCGTTTTCCTAAGTTCCTGGAACACCCAGGGGACAGTTTGCTTCCGAAAGTGGAGGAAGTAACCAGGGGAACAGCCCGTTTGGACTCGATTCGGATGAGCAGGGAGGAATTGGTTGCTTGGTGACTCCGGCTTTGGTCAGCAAGCACAGGCCGCAGCAGGAGCAGCCTCACCACTGCGCAGGAAGCAGGGAGGAGCCGCACTCTGCCCCAACACCTCTCCCGCTCTCTGCCCTGCCCCCTCGATCTGTGCGGGCCCACTGGAGCTGGCAGCTGTGTTCCCTGGGGCAAACACCCCACACAGCCTAACACGAGGCAGGGACCGGGGCCTCAAACACAGAGCCCTCAGCACCGCTGCCTGCAGGGCACCAAGCCCCCTCGCTCCCCACGCCGCAGGTGAGCCCCGTGCCGTGGCCTGGCCGGCGTGCCACCCCATGCAGGCCAGCAGCAACAGGCTGCATGCCAGAGCCAGGCTGACTCGCAGGCTGTGCTGGGCATCCGACAGGGGAGAAGTCCCAGCGGAAGAAGGGCGAGGGAGCCTGCTGGCTCTGAGCAGCTGGCAATGCAGAGGTGTCTGTCCTCAGACAGTCCAAGACAGCCACTGTCAGGGCTGAGGCAGAACTGCAGCCACGAGACAGTGCCCCCCCCCCCCCCCACAGGCACAGCTCAGCCTGGGGACTGGACGCAGGCAGTGGGGGAGGGCAGAGAGAGAGGTGGGAGTCACAGGGTGTGACAAGGGCGGTTTTCATTCACCTTGTTATGTCACATGTCAGTTCTACCGTGCTGTAGTAATGCCGTGTGCGTGCCTCAGTTTCCCAGGGCCCTGCCCCAGTCCCTAGCTGGGGATGGCAATCCCAGGGGTGACTCCCACTGAGAGTGGCTCCCCCAGCCAAGCAGGGATGGCGAGGTGACCCCTTTCTGCCTGGAAGCAAAGCAAAT